TTAATCACCAAAGGACTGAAGATGTCTGGGCTTTTTTATTCTGTAATGTTTCTAAGACTGTGTCCATTAAATGCAAACAAAAAGGAGGAAGTCTTGGCAGAACAGGAGAAGTGATGCACACTTGATGATCGGATCAATTTAAATATTATTCATGGCATATAGCCTAGTCCATGCTCTAGCTGTAGACAGAAACAAACGCACGATTATTATTTTACTTAGTTCAATATGTTACTTTCCAAACTATAAATGGCAAACAAACACTATTAAGTTAATTATGGAAATGTCATGCTGTAATCTCTTAAATTCATGCCTTTTTCTATAAATCGGATCAGGGCTGAAAGATTTTGTATACGTCCAATTACCAAAACACTACAATAAAATTCATAAGTTCTAGAAAATTCAAGAGGATGAACCAAGTTGTCCATTTCTGGATACACAATTCTCCCCACTAATTTTCTTAAAATCTGTAGCTGAAGCTTCTTGACTCCAAATTCTCTAGCCATAAACAGCTGAATAATCAAATGGGTTACAAAAACAGTTCAAAAGTTTTCCAGTGTTCTTTACATATAACTAGATAAATGGTACACACTCAGTATTTGTTAAACCAGGTGTAGTTACAAGAGACTCCAAGATCTCCCAATTACAGGTTGTCTTTAAATTTGGGGGGTTCCCATAGCAGGCCATTTTGTTATAAGAGGTATTTACATACTATAAGCAGGATCTCACTCATTACAATATTTTTTTTTTCTATTTCTTTTCCTTGCCAAGAGAAACTTTAGAAAAGTTTAAGTGGCAATACAAATTTGTTTGTAAGAGTGGAAGTGGTGTGAAGGAGAATGAATATTAGATACCTGTTTCTATGGCTTGGGCTTCGTTGGTCTTCCACTGCTCCGCTACATCATTTGCTAATGGATCATCTGGATTGGGAGCACTTAACAAGGCCTGGATCGATAGCAGAACTGTGCGGATCTGCAGTGCTGGGGACCACTTATCTATGAAGGCAACAGGCCCAGTATGATGAAGCATGAAAAAACAGGCCCAGAACTGCTTCACTTCCCTCCCGCAGACCTCTCTGGTCTTTGTATATTTACATTCTAAACATGGAATGCTTAAGAGAAAAAGGAGAAAGCTTAATAATAGCATATGCTGATAAAGACAACACTTACCTTTCAAAATATCTAAACATATTCTTCCCAACTTGTCTACATTAGGATGATAAATTTTGGTCATGAAACGTACTTTAGGGGCTGCCATTGGGTATTCTTCAGGAAGGAATAGTTCAAGTTTAAAAGTCCCTCCCTCAAAGGGGGAATCTTGAGGGCCAGCAATGACCACATGAAAATAACGGGCGTTGCTCTCATCTGGTTCTGCTTTGATGCCAGGAACTGGTTCTGCCAGCAAACGCTGGGTTTCCTACAACAGAAAAACAAACACATTTGTGAAACAAATGTCATTTTACTAGACACCAAAAGTAAAATTAGAAAGTTCATCTCTTGGAAATAGGCATAATAGAACATCTCCAATCTTCCAACAGGATTTATTTTGCTTATAAAATGCAAAATTCAAAAAAATACCATTTAAATAATTACAACCAGCTGAATGCAACTGCAAGCAAATACCAATGATGTTGTCATACATTTTGGCTACAAATGTCTACAAATACATTGATAATAAAATTAGGTTAATAAAACTGATATTTTACTCAAGTAAAATAAAGTAGCATTAGGATTACATAGGTAAGGCAACTTGCTCTAAACTCAACCAAAACCAAGCTATTTAAATTTAAAAAGTAAAATTGGGATTTTTTGGTGGTGTTTTGTTGTTTGTTTTTGAGACAGGGTCTCACTCTGTCACTCAGGCTGGAGTGCAGTGGCAAGATCTTGGCTCACTGCAGCCTCGACCTCCCTGGACCCAGGTGATCCTCCCAACTCGGCCTCCGGAATAGCTGGGATTACAGGTGTGCACCACCACGCCCAGCTAATTTTTGTATTTTTAGTAGAGACGGTATCGCCCTGCTGGCCTCTTGGCCTCAAGTGATCTGCCCGCCTTGGCTTCCCAAAGTGCTAGGATTACAGGTATAGGCCAACACACCCGGCCAAAAATTAGTTTTTAAACCACTGAAAACTTCCCCTCTGAAAAATGTAATGGACTAAAGAAAGGAGATAAGAGGCCCAGGTACCTGAACAGGGCTAAAGAAATGTATTTAACAATGCTCATTAGTCTAAAATTGACAATTAACTTCAGAGGAACCTTTAATACTCCCAACAAACATATCATTAGTTCTCTCTTTCATCATTCTCCCTCTCTCCTAAATAACTGTATTATTCTTTCTGTTCTCTCTTCAAACCTCCAGCATCTCCATCCCCATCCTCACTTGTGGTTGATGTTCTGCTTCCTATTTCATGACAAGTTAGATATTTCCATCAGTTTCCACTGTAGCATTTGGACATTTCCCTGCATCTTCACCTATACGCTCTGGCTTTTCTCCTGTAGAGATGAAATGCCACGTACTCTTAGCTAGGGCCAATCGGTCTTCTTGAGCACTAGATCTTACTTATCTGTTTGAAATGTTTGTTCCTCGGTGCCATAAAGAAATAGCACTTGAACATAAATTTACTTAGTAAGGCCATTTTTACTTCCTGCAGAAAGGGTACACTCGCCAGGAATTTTGCCACGAGAGTACACTGAACAAAGGAGACAGGGTCATTTATAACCTGACGTGTCCACCCTTCTGCTGTGTCCGGTTTCCATCGGCTCAAATGGGACCTCACATTCTATATTTATCCTGATTGGCTAGCAACTTAGAACTTTTAAAAGAAGTAAAGGTAGAGGGGAACACAGGAAGGAGGAAGCCACTTGTGGAATGCTGAGAAAGGTAAAAACACTTTTAAATAAGGAAGAGGAACAGGCTATGACCTACTGCTTGCGTGCAGCAGTATAAGCATGCCAGGGCAAATATTTAGGCTAAATTGTGGGAGCTAAGAACATAAAGTATATTGATTTCTTTATTATGGTTAGCAGATATTTAAGAATGTTAGCACAGGTCTTTGAATAAATTTTGCTTCTAAGAGAAGTTACTATTTATTCCTAATTAGATGGGGAGGAAAGTCTTTGAAGAGGAACCTCTACTTTACTTTTTTTTTTTTGAGACGGAGTCTCGCTCTTTGGCCCAGGCTGGAGTGCAGTTGGGTGATCTCG